TCTTAACACATTCAAGTCTCCTCTTTGCCAGACATAAAAGTCAGCAAATGCGAGACTCCAGAAAAACTTTTGGGTATGCTCTTTTGTAAATGTAACTAGCTTTTTACTATGTTGCCTTTAGTCCAACTTAGAGATTTTCAAGGGTTTATGAAACTCACAAATATTTCAATAAAAATTTGAAATATGTACTAGGGTTATGATGGTTATCAGCATGCAAACAAAGAAGAGACTAACGTGGCTGGCCTTAAATTGATGTACTTAATTTTCTGATTGTTCCTTTCAGAGGACTTAATTTTCTGAATGTTGACAATAGGCAAACCTCAGCTTAATTAAAACGAAAGAAAGGGAAGAGAAAGACCAAATGTAGTTTACAAGCAAACTAATATTGAAATGACGAGGGACTTAGCTGTTGACTTACCTTGAAAATGCAAGCTTGGGGTTTTATATCATTTGGGTCCCCATCCCGATTGACGACATTGAATGTAATCATGATAGGAACTTTTGCGGCCGACTGCAAGGGTATTCCACTATCTACTTGAATCCCACGGACAAGCTTGTTTGTTGCAGTTGGTAGATATAGGTCTTCACCCTCCATTTCAATTTTCTCCAACTCCCTGGGCAAATGGTTTTAATATCCTTTTCAGTTAACATTTGGCAACCTAGGAAATGTGAGCTACAGAATTTACAGTGAAAACACACCTCCTGATGCCAGCTCGACGTTCATCCTTGGGAAGTGGAAAGAGAACACCAGATATAGATGTAACTTTGTCAAAGAAATTGAACTCTCTTTCAAATAAGTCAAGAGCCTTGGGAGTGAAACCATCAATTATATGCTGCCTTACAACTGGCAATAACGCTAGAAATGAACCATTCTGAAAAACAGCACGTTTACAGGATTATTGAGCACTGAATCAGAAACAACTAATATATCAATATAAGATGAAAATACTAAGAGCTGTCCAAGGATACATATATCCAACTAAGTGGAAAATAAAATATGATTACTATGTTCAAGAAATATATAGTACAGTAAGAACAAAGTATACCTAAAAAACCACCATCTGTTAGAGGAAAAATTATTGGAGCTAAAATTGGCTAGACCTATCGTAGTCTTTGATTGGGTGGGTACTTCTCTCCATATTTGTTAAGGCCTTGTAGATTATTATTATATATATTTTTTATTTATAACCCAGAATCGATAGTTCTTTTAACTTTTTACCCCTATAACCAGGGGCCCCCGCGTCTGCCTCGAGGTCCAGACCTGAGAGACATCAGGAGTTTTTGGTATTAAACTCACTGAAAGGCTCGAACACAAGAATTAATGGTAGGTGATACCACAAGGCCTCATGCTCTTGCCAATGGGACGGCCCCTTGGGGGCTAAGGCCCTGTAGATTATATTCTTACCCATTTTAAAACAATCAAAGTCTTGGTTGGTAAGGACAATTTTACAAGCTTCTGGAATGATTTTTGAATTGGTAACGATACCCTTCATAGGCTTACCCAAGGCTACTAAGGCTACCCATCTCTCTGTAGCCAGAACAGTTCCCTCGTCAAAGATGGATGCTTGGAATCCCTCGGCTCAATATTGGGAGCTAGATTTAAGAACAAAGTTCCTGAATGGGATTCAAGAGTGGGCCTCTCTCTCCAACGTGCTCTCTGTTTTTTATTATTATTATTATTATTATTATTTTAATTTCCTTGGCACCCTTCCAGATAGATGGATATGGGTGATCAAAAATTCAGGGATTTTCTCTTGCAACTTTCCTTTTTAAATATTTGGTCGGTAAAGATATCACAGAAGGGCCAAATCTTTACCAACTGATTTGGAATTCAAAACATCTCAAGGAAGTAACTTCTTCCTTTGGGAGCTTGCTCATGAAGGATCAGTACATGATAACTGATAAAGATTAAAGGATGAAGTCCAATCTCAAAGTCATCTCTTTCACAAATGCTAGTTTGCTGAAAATTTTCTGGAACTATCTTCTCCCTATTTTCAAATGGTAGATGGCTCTTTCCCTTAATGTCAACAATCTCCTCTCCATGGTGCTTGAAGGCCATCCATTCAAGGAGAGAGGAAATCTTTTGTTGAAGTTTGTTAGAGCCTTCTTTTGGTTACTTTGACTTAAAAGGAATAATAGAAGTTTCACTAAGAAAGAAGAATCTATAAGCAGTCTTTTTGATTCTCTTATTTTTGTGGTTCTTGGTGTAAATTCTAGGATTTTAACTCTAACAACTAAAGGGTTCTCTGTGCCACATGAAAGAGTTTTTTGTAATCGACTCCCTCCCCCCTCTTTAATTTCTTTCTTTGCTTTGAGGGTCCACTCTAAAAAAATACGCTAATATTATTTGATTCAATGCAAGTCAGATTTTCCTTTTGTTTTCATTTTTTTCTGGTCTAAAGAAAGCTATAAAGAGTGTAACTAAACAGAAAAGTGCTAACAAGCTTGATCTCCAAAACACAAATAGAAACATACCTTCCCGGAGTTGGCGTCTTTCCCAGAATCTGGTACAGAAGTCTCACCCTGCAAGTCGTTAACTCAACTTATTAAATGTACAGCAAAACATATAGTTGCAGAGTACATAATGCAGAGTCACATCCCATTTTCGTCAAGAAAATAAAAATTAAAGCTATAATGGAAATTGCATTTAAAAGCAGAGTATACTTGAATAGAAAAGTGCATTAAAAAATTAAAAAATAATATATATTTACGAGCCATAAATTAAATTCCAAAACAATACACAATCACGTGAGAAATTTCACAAACCTGTAGGTGCCAGATCAGTATATGGGCAAATATATCACTCCTTTGAGCTGCTCTAAGTAAATATCCCTCAACCAACCTCTGAAAAGTAATTGAATCAGATATCACACATAGAAAAAGAAAAAAAAAAAGAAATTCAGTATGCAAAAGAGCTAATATGTCAATCACCATTGATAATATTCAAATCAGCGAAGTTTGAACCCTTGCTTAAATCAGTAAAGGTAAGAAAAGAATATTTTATTTTATTTTTTTGAACAAGAAACAAAATCACTGATATGAAATATAAAATAAGAACCCCAAAGAGTAAAAGGAGAAATTTTGGGCTGTCTTTTTATTGGCCTGAAAACGTCAGTTGCTTAGCTTCAATTTTGCAGAGTCGAGTAAAGGTAATTTTTCATATTTAGTAAACAGCTGGCTATTGTTACCTTTATATTACCCAAAATATTTTTTTATCATTTAATGGCCCTTTATTGAATTATAATTTATACCTTTTCTTAATATCAATTTATTACTATTATTATTATTATTACAATAATTACAAGAAACACAGATGAGAAATCATCTTAAGAGGAAATACAAGACATTCAAAAGAAAAAAAAAAAGTTGCACATCAAGGCTACATTGAGGCAATAGTACACCAAAATCCAAAGGTTTATATGTATATTCGTTTCAATCAGTGCAAGCAAAACCAAATCTAACTTCATATAAAAATCCTCGATAAAGAGAAGTCCCAACAACCTAGTAACAAAAACATCCCCCAAGATTTAGTAAGGCTTGAATTGATTAATTTATTGACAGAAATCACAATCAGTGGAAAGAGAGCTTTATCCAAGTCCCTGCAACTAAAATGAAAAATATAAAGAGGATCTGAGAAAGAATAAACGCAAGATAGTTCATTACGAAATATACCCCTTCATCATATCGCAAAGCCTGCACCAACTGTGGCATGAAAAAAGTAACCTTTTCAGGAGGATAGGATTCCAAAACCCTAAGAACATATGCCATAACACGTGGATGCCCCTTATAAGCAGGAGTGAGGAACTCAAGAGCTTGTGTAATTGAACAAGCGGCCCAATGTGGCAACTGTCTTAGAAGTTCAGAATTTTCATCAACAGCTTTTGGTGTGACGAAATAAGGCAATGCTTCAGGAATGGAACGAATATCCAATATGTGCAACTGCAATAAGAGACCACATCAGGAAGAAGAAAAATCGAGCAAAGGCTCATTAAGGAACAGTAGTAGAAAAATAAAAGGTTGACCTTTCACCGTAAAGGTCCAGATATTATTATGTTGACTTTTCACCATATCAAAGGTTTTCTATTTAAAAAAAAGGAAGCAAAAAAGAAAAGAAAAACACAGAGAGAGTCTTTAAAATACATTTAGGCATCTAGAAAAAGCTCCTTGTGAAGGCAATTTTGTAAAAGGCAAAAGAATTGTCTGCTTTGTGCTCACTGCCCAAATGTGTTTGTGAAGATAATTGTAATTATTTTTCTTTTCTTATACGTACCAATTGAAGAGTTTTTTTCTTCCTTTTATTTTTCCTTTTCAATATCTTCTTAAGTCTTTTCTTTCCCCCCATTTTTCATAGTTTGTTTTCAATGCATTGTACATCATCCAGGAGGGTTCTTGATAAAAAAATTATGATCAAAAGAAAAAAAAATTAAAATTGACATAAAAGTAAGAAAACCCGAAAAATGTTATAAAATAGTTAAACGTAATAAATAGATCCGCTTATTTATCCCATCTTGGTTGTTTATATCCAATCCATCCCATTCCATCACTTATTCCATATTTTAGACCTATCAAAACTTATCTAGTTCATCAATCCAGCAAACTCTCCTTGGAGGAGAGAAATTGCTCAATTATATCATAAGAAAACTTCATTATTAAGCCAAATGGAGAAAAGTACTTGTTAGACATCAAAGATATGTCCTATCAACTTCTCTACAAATCAGACTCCTTTATTATCCAGCTACAGTATTCTGACAATGACAATCATACCCAAATTTTACATTTTCTATACCCAAAATCATTGCATTTCTTGCATAATCAACTATCTCGGTAATTAAAATATAAGCACTAAAATGTGCAATGCACTTCTTGCTCTCACCTTTACATTGTTAACAATGAGCACAAGGACACTGATATTCTACAGCTTCATAATATTCAACCAGAAACATGGTGTATAATGCATAGGAAGCTCAAGTTCTTCAGAAGTTTTAGTTTAGAGAAAAAAAATAAGGAAACAAATACCTGTACTAGTTGATTCATTTCAACTCTTAAGGACGCATTTGTTGGAAACCTTGAGACCATAGAAAAGGCAATTCGTGGATCCACAGAGAAGGCAGTCCTAACATGTTCTATCCATTTTTCAGAGCTTAGCTTGGGTCGAGAAGGTGTACTCTCCCTATATACAGAATACGAGAAACAATTGATATATTCCAGGTAAGATTTCCAGGTGATGCAGATTCTGTATATCAGAAGAATGAATATGTTCAATGGCAGCATAAAATGTTACTTAATATTTGGCTGTGCCCAAACTTCAAGTCTATCAGCCTCATGCTGGCATAACATCAAAAGTAGTTGCCTCCTTTTTTCTCTTCCCACAGCATAATTTTCCAAATGGCCCCATACAGGGTGATATTGATCTTTCTGTTAAAATATAAATCATTCAGTTAAAAAGTTGCAGAACTCATGCAATACCAGAAACTTGGGAAATATGTAAAAGGAGCATCGTAAACACTGTACAAGAAACTTACCGAATTAACCACAGAAATACCATTTTCACGCCCACGTGTTTTTGCATCAAATTGCAGACCATTTCCACGGTCACTTGAAAGATAATGAAGAAATATGGACACAGATTGAGCCTCACTTTGAGCAAAGTTCACATGTTTTACATCGTACCACTCTGGCTCATGAGCAAACCATCCTAGAGATGCTCTGAAAGAAGTAGAAAACACATGTTTTAATTTCAAATGAAAACTGGGTTTTTCATAAAACAAACTTAAAAAGTACAAGTGGTGAGAAGAACAAATTTTATCAAAATATGCGCCACTGTATAATGGTTACAAAGAAAAAACAGAAATATTCAATACCAAAACTTAATCAATATCCTTGCATCAACAACTGTCAACTGGAAATTTGTAGATTTAGACAATATAAAGGATGTGAATAAATAATGGACTAGGATAACAAAAACTAAAACGAGATCTCTCCAGCTGAAGAATGAGGCAACCAAGAGAAATAAAAAAGATGAAATGTCTTTGAGTAGTGATCTACTATAAATTACCAAAGAAAGATACACAATTGATGGCTTCTGTGATTTCTCATATTGTGTAAGCTGAAGACTGGCAAGAAAAAGTGAAAAGATATAGATAATATTACGCAAGAACTCAGGGAAATTAGAAGGAAGATAGTGCTTAGTTAATTGATCAGACATTAAATTCTTATTTTTTGAAGTTAAAAAAAATATCACAGAACATCTGTAGTCCCGCATGGATATCAGGACAGTTCAAGTCTCTAATAAACTAAAACAAATTATTGAATCAAAGCATCTTAGACATATTATAATAGCTATCATAAACGTTAATGCAGTACTTAAATTGGTTGTAAAGAAAATATGATGGATATAATAATGAGAACCTATATATCCGGTCCTCCAGCAGCTCAAGCCCAGTTTTAAAGTTTTGCAGGTTGCCCTGGGATTGGCACGAACAAAACTTAAGCCCTAGAAGCATCAGAGTGAAAAAGGAACCAGTTGCTGCAGGATGACGTGAAAAGTTCCATGGGGGCTTAGTGGACCCCTGAAGCAAACGACCAAAGAGCAAGACTTGCTCAACACTGTTGTGTCGAACTACCTATTGAACCAACAAGAAATTAGGAGGCCAGTTAAATACTAAAAATAATATTAAGGATCAATTTATCTGACAAACCAATTAGCATGGGTAAGAAAGAAACAAATAATATTATACGATGAAAGATTTTAAAAGATATCTCACTTCTAGTGGTGGTATAGTCTTACAAGATAGAGCTTAAAACACACTTTAAACCATTCAAGTAGGTCCAAGCTGTCATATCCTCTACTGTCAATTTTTTCTTCAGCTTAGTGATTCAGAGAAAACGTGCATAGTAAAAAGGGCAAAACATCTCATCCCTAATAGGGATAAAAAATGAGATGAGAAGTGACCTCAAAAAGGAAGGGTGTGACATCATGATGAGATTAACTTGCCGAAATCCCAATGTAGCATCACAAGGAGTAAGATCCCAAATAACGTAATAAGACTTGAAGCTGAACTAGACACCAATTATGCACAGTACCCAAGATGCAAATTACAAAAAAAATGTTAAAGGTGACAAAATGATGGGTATTGTACCTCCCAAAGGCAAAATATTGCTCATATTAGTCAGGCTCGTGTTAAAGCAGCACTTGAAAACATCCTTCTAGCAGTTGTCTCCCAAACATATCATCGTAAGCCGATAGGATAATATGGTTTCAATCATAACTTCCGTTACAAATGTGTTTCGACTTTTGGTAACAGACAATATGCTAAAACATATGGGTAAACACTAAGACAACATGCATCCTCAATTTATGTTCAGCTTTTTTAACCACAGCACGCCATGCCATGATCAAAGCAAAACTGGAAAATATTTAAGACGCCTTAAGAGAAGAAAATTCTAACCTCAAAGCGGTCAATAAAGAATCCAAGCCATATTCTATGAGCAATTATTTGTTCAACAGGATCAATCTCAGGCTGCACTTCAGGCTCCCCAGGAGATAAGTGAGGCCTTAACTTGGCAGCAGGTCCTGAATACTTGACCTCCGATGCAAAGAGACCCCGTTTGGTATCAATTGTCCATAACCACGCATCAACAAGCTCAGCAAGGACAAATGATCCAAGCTCTGGTGCAGCAGAAACCAACCAAGTCCAAATAAATACACCAGTTTCAATCGCATCAGGGGTGGAAATGTAGGCCGGACACCAACAAAGAAGGCGTATAAGTCGTGCAAAGCCCTCTATATTTGTTTTTGATTCAGAAGCCTGAAAAATGAGTAGTTATTATGAGAAATAATGCATGAAGACAGGAGGCTACTTCAACCACATTCACCCAGAAAGTGAGAAGCATACCAAGTTTGAAAGAAGTAATGCAGTTGCCTGAGAACAAGTTTCACGAAATTTCAATTTGTCAAGTCCACAGCCTTTTTCTGCTCCACTAACAAACTGTTGAAGTGACTGCACAAATTTCATAATTAAAATCCCATTAAATGAATCATCCTCGTTCTGTGGTTTTTGGGGAAATGCTCCAGATATCAGCCTCTGAAAGCCCTGACCAAACCCAAGACCAGTTGGAGCAGCAACACCAGTCTGAAATCCACCAATGCTGTTATACAACCTTCTCATACCAGCAATTTCCCCAGCATGGTTGCATTTGACTGTTGCACTGACCATACCAGTTCCGAGCACCTCCAAATTAAAGGCTTCTGTCAATTTTAAGTCAGCGCCTGAAGCTGCAGCTGCAGCAGTCATGACAGCAGGAATATTCGCTGTTTGTATGCCAGTCCAGCAATCATTTTTGCCAGTGCCTATCCGTATCTCAGATAAAAGAGAAATCACATCAGGTGTATGCTGAGCTCTTTGCCATGTATTAACTTTGCATAGTTTTTCCTGAATCGTCCATATTAAAAATAAATTAAAATTAATAATAATAATAAACTTGAAAGTGAATGCTTCAAAGAAAATGAGATAAAACTTTATTAAGCTAGAGTGTTGGTTATAGTCACTACAAAAGGTCAAAATTTTCCACAATGGGAAAATCTGATATGTTCGCCATTATTCTTCCTCCAACTTTTCTGATTTAATAATCTCAAAACAGTCAACCCACTTATCTTAACCAGAAATCCCCTCTGCAGCACTTGATTTTCAGTACACACAAGGCGTTAATATATTTCTACAGAAGCATGTATGCTAAATATGTTAGAAGCTCCAAATCCTCTTGTGAGAAAAAGGCCGAAGAGCCGTGGTCTTTTTTACAAGCTCCAAGAGGAAGCTATGAAAATTGCACTCCTTGTTGCTTGTTGAGTTTGAGTACACTAAAGTCACATATTATGATATTTCCAACTATAACATGCACCAGAAAATGCAACAGATATCATCAGCGCACTAAGTGATGGGATGGATAACTGGCATTTTCTTAAAAGAAACTACTTTCATTGAGATAAATGAAAGTTAGTTTCTACTAGCTTTCATCGAGATAGTATAAAAACAGGGCCAACAACAGGGCCAACAACGGGCGTTAGGGCGGGCACGGGTGCCCTCGGGTATGGAAGCAAAGCTCTTACTCCTGGTCTAAAAAAAACAGGACCAACAAAATAGACTATAGACGGGTTAAACAAAAAAATAAATAAAACAAAACAACTACAGTTAGAGGCTCCAATTATCCAAGCTTAAATACCCCGAGAAAATAACCATAGAGGGGAATTGAAGTTAACTACACGTCAAACCTCCTCCAACAACTCCAACTCGCTTAAAAATTCTCAGGTTTCATCTCTAGCCAAATGTACCAAATAATAGGAAAAAAATATAGAAAAAAAAAACCGGTCTACCACAAGAAACACCCTCCTTCATGACACCATCCGGTAAGCACCCATATTGGGATCCAAGCTAACACCAATTACCTCAACAAATTGTCCCAAATTCTCCAATTCAAATGACATCACCAAAAATATGATCCAGGTTTTTCACCCTGACAGGTCCACAAACCATTGAAGGCCTAAAATCAGAGCGAAGATCTATGGATGAAATTTTTGTGTTGATCATCCCCAAAGCTACCAACCAAGAAAAAATCCAATCTTCTTTTTGTAGTTTACATGCCAAGAATCTGGCATTATAAAAGTGTTGCAACATGCTACGTTAAGCAAAATGATGTTAAAGACCAAATTAAGACAGGTAAAACAGAAGAACGGACTAAAAACTAATATTAATCCCACTGGTCAACCTGAAGGAGACCTTGGCTAGTGCAAGGAGCATATGACAAAGATTTGATGATCCATTCCCGAACAACCCCTTGGTACAAAGAACGAACTGTTACAACCCAAGCAGGATCAGTGACAACAGCCGAAGGTGCATCATTATGCATTGAAAAGAGCAGGGAATCCAAACAAGATGAATTCCACATAACCTGAAAGCACGTATTTCTAGATTTTTAGGTCAATGAAAAGGCATGAGAAAAAATTTTTGTAATTGAAGACATGACTTCACCTGGGGAAACTTATCTCTGAGTTGTGTCAGCAAGTTAACTGCAATATCTCGAACATGTTCGTCCCTTTGAGACATACTCCTTATAAGAAAACAGGTATGAGCAAATAGAGTTGAATCTCTGACCTCAGCTTCATTACCAGTTTCAGAAATCCGATCATCCTGATTACCACCCGAAGGACAAAATAACACTCACATACAGAGAAAGGGTGTAAAGACGCCAATCAAAAACAAAAGAAAGATCCTCGCAGATTTCATTATTCAAGATTTATCCTTTTCTTCTTTTACTAATATTTAACCTAATAAAGCTCTGTTAGAAGGACAATTAATGTCTATTTTTCATAGGGTCCTTTGGAGCGTTATTAAGAAGATCAAGTAATTTGCATTAATTGTAATTATACAAGTTATTCATAGTTGGGAACTTGGGAAATAAGAACTTGACAGTTAAACAAGAGTCCATGTGTTACTTAACATTGATCCTACAATATGCATCAGCTGGGGCACTAGGGTATAGCAGTAAACAATAGAACGAGGATACGAAGAAATACAAACCTAAGAAGTTGAGTAAAGAATACACGAGGACATACCAGCCACGAAACTGCAGTTTCAAATGCCCCGTGTACCATTGCGGTCAAACATTGGGAAACAGCAGGCAAAAGATTTGGTGTTTTAAGGTACTCAAAAACACAACTGAAGGCACTCCTAGAAGCATTTAAATTTGAGCCACCATTAAGTACGCCACCATTGCTACTGAAACGTATAATCTCTAGAAAAGACACTGCAAGAAGATATGTAGCCTTGACACCTACAAAATGAAATAAACTAATTTGAGATGGCAAGAATGAAAATACCATTCTACTAAAAAATACATCCAAACAATAAACTATGTAATAGGCAACTGATAACTATGTAATAGATCAGTCAGTT